GAGGGGTTAGAACTCTGCAAATGCTATTCTGTATTCTGAAACAAAGACACCATGTTATTTCCACCTCTGGTATAACAGAACAGGGCAATTTTCTACATGAAGAGGTGACAATATACAAAAACTGGAGCCGTAAAAGGCAAGGATGACAGCCAGGCACACAGTACAGTTACAAGGTCTTTGCCAAATCAGCTCAGGAATTGGAGAGGGAACGATAACAAGCAACTGAAATGTTTGCAAACAAATGCTAGGAGCTCAGATATCCTGGAATACCCCATGCTGTGAGAGAGGATGGGGAGAAAAAAGAAAGGGAAAAAAGGCAACAACAACAAGTCAAGCTCTAGCTTCTTTTATAATTTAATTTATATAACATTAAACGATTGAAGTAACCTGTGAAACAGACAGAGATGAAGTGATGGCTGCAAGGTTACTGATTTTCATAGCGCATGAACTGGGCTGCAGACAGGAGTGAAACTGTCTTGTCAGCATCTTAACATTAAAGAAATTAAACCTCCAGTCCCCACATTTCACCCAGATCCACGTAAAACAGGCAACTGACAACTGCCACTGCCAATCTGTGTATCCTGCCCTCCAAATGCACACGATTAAAGCAGAGCACCGAGGCAGGACTGCTCAGAAACAGCACTGAGACATGAGGAGACAGCCTGGGTGACCCTCTTTAGGCCTCTGATCACCACAAAAGATCTTCCCTGTAAACCTTTTACAGAGTAAACACCCCTTATATGAGGAAAGTACTGCTTTTTGATATGAGGAAAATACTGCTTTTTGATATGAGGAAAATACTGCTTTTTGATATGAAGAAAATACTGCCTTTTGCTCAACAGCAATTAGTGGTATGATGAAACATCAAACCCTGCATCAATCCCTGCATCAGGATGAATTACTGCACAGAAGAGATGCTCTGCAGATTTGTAAGGAAGTTTAAGAATCCTAATAGAAACCACACAAACCTGTCTAGACACAAAACATTCAGCTCTGCACACAGCAAACAGCTTCACTGGCTTCAGGTTTCATTATACATGACTTCATGTAATATTAAATAGAGCAACAAACCGTTTCACTGGAAGGTATTTTCTGCTCTGTAAAAAGGCAGTGGCTCTCAAATGATGTGTGTAAACGACGCTGGGGAGCTGGGGCAGCTCAAACCTCCCCGAGGCCATGAAGGAGATTACATTTTTTCTCAACTAGTAGCAAAAATTGAATTACCATCTCCTTCCTTTAAGAGAACAAGAGCAGAAACTCGCACACTATTACCCTGCAGAAGGCGATGCAGTTATTCCCTTGAATTCCTGCAACCAGTCTGCAGGGAAAGCAATTCAATAGGAGCAATCTTAGTCAAAGTTAAGGAAACATTTCATCAACAAGATAAACTGCTCTGTGTCATTTCTCTGCCAATTCTTGCTGATATACAAGCACAATCTGAAAAGCTTCTCTGGAAAGCATGGACCACAAAAGCTACTTCAATTATGTATTGAAAAGAATACATCACAGTTATATGTTTTCTTTAATCATAAAACTACGTGGTTAATTATGTGGTGGTTTTTTTTTTCCCACTGATTACTTTTTCTGACCTCATCCAAATCAGTATCAGAACACTGAGCAACACAAGAACATCCCTGAAATCAGGGTGAGACAGATAAGCCTGATGTCTGGATGTCAATTAAGAATTACTGTTAGAACAGCACTGTGAGAAGTGAGATATTAACAATTAGATAGAACTCTTTCATTGTGCAATTATTAGAAAGCATCAAAATCAGAGGGAGAAATACTGCAGGTATTTCTGGACTGGAGTGATTATCACTGCAACAGCCAAGCTGCTCTGCTTCCCTTTCCCCTAGGCAAGAAGGGGATTACTTCAGTTACCTCCTTGGAAAAGTGAGAAGTCCCTGTTTATGTCTGATATGAAAATACAAGTGCTAGCTGTCCATTGCAATCAGGTAATTACTGCAGTAATATTAAGTGTGAAAACCAATTCAAAATGATGAGCAAATTGCGTAGACAACTCACAGTACCCTTTTACATTTGAAGAGGCCACACACAACAGGACTAGAAGGAATCCAAGAACTAAAGCCACTTGGATAAGACCTTTAAGTCCTTTCTCCGTGAGTTAATACTGGCGTATCCCTTACCCACCAGCCGACGGGTACCTCCGGAACAAGCAAACAACTTCACACAAAGCTAAGATCTGCCGCAGTTTCAGCGAACCGGAGCTGTAGCTTCTGCCACCGGGAGCTCCGGCTCCATGGGCACAGAGAGCGCTGGCGCCGGGGCTCCTCTCCCTGACCGCCCGCCGCAGCTCCGCCACCGCATCCCACCGACAACCGGGTCGCTCCCCCCCCCAGGACAAGAGCCAAGAACCGGCAATTCCTACACAGCCACAAACCCGCCCTGAGGAGCTCAAGCGCCGGGGCTCAGCGCTCCCAAACCCGCAGCGCACAGCGCTACCCGCGAGCAGGCGACGGGCACGGACCCGCACTGACACTCACGGGCGATGGAGGCAAAGACCCCCCGGGGCTGTCCCCTGAAGGGGCGGACCCGAGTCCCCTCCGCCTGCCCCACCGAGCAGAACACGGGCAGCGGCGGCGGCACCGCGGGACGGGCCCGGCCAGGCCTCGCCGCGCCCGCACCGACCCTCCCGGGAGGCGGCGCCGGGGGTGCTCGGCGCTGCTCAGCGAACCGGGACCGGGCCGGGCCGGGCCGGGCCCCCCGGGGAAAGGGCGGCGGCGGCGGCGGGGGGGGGGGGGGGGGGGGCACGCGGCTCTCACCGTGCTCCAGGGCGGGAGCGGGAGCGCGCACACCCCGCCGGTGGCCGCGCGCGCGGGGAGCGGCTGCGTGAGGGGAGCGGCGGGAACGCGCCTGCGGGGAGGGGGCGTGCGCGTGCGCGTGCGGTGTCAGTGACCCGGATGGAGCGGGCGGCTCCACGCATGCGCCGGCCCCTTCCCGCGCGCGGGGCCGTGCTCGCTGTGTCCGCAGCCGCGGACGGGTGAGGCTCATGGCGCCCGCGGGGCTCTCCTCGGCGCTCCGGGGAGACCAGCGGCGTCCACACGGACCGAGCCTCGGCCGGCGGGGAGCCGCTCAGGTTGCCCTGGGAACGGCGTCTGACGGAGCGGGCAGCGCCCGGGTGCGGCAGAGCCCGGTGTGGAGGACAGAGGCCTTGTCATGTCCCTGGTTAACAGCCGCGAAACGAGCGTTGGGAGCTGACAGGAGCGTCCCGGCAGGACCGGGGCGGGCACCGTAAAGGCAGAGGGGAGGACGCGGGAGTGACCCGGGGACTGGGGCTGCGAAAGAGCCGTGCGTGCTCCTGGATGGCACCGCGGTGAACGGGCTTCGCTTTGCAGTTGGCGTCGGCTGGGGGACGCGCTCGGATGGAGCAGTGAGAGCTTGTGTCTCTCAGTAAATCATGGCTTAATCCATCGATGATCCTGGACAGTGGTCATCTGAGCACGTACATTTTACATCTAAAGACAACGCAAACCAACGTCCTTTTTTTGGTTGTATTCCATTTTCCACAAAAAGCACGCAGAACTCATGAATTCCACCCACACAAATACTTAGTTCAGCAGCTTTGTCCTCACCTGGAAAGCCTGAAGACAGGCAGGATTTTTGACATCAGTACTGAAACTTCTAAAGCTGAGGTACAGAAAAAAGGCAGACAGTAATGACAAGTACTTCACGGGCTTGTAATTAGTTCGTCCACAGTGCAGACCTTTAAGACAACCTTTAAGAGCACCACAGAATTCACTTCTGGAAAGGTAAGGTCAGCTTCACCTGTCCAGACAAGGGATTCAGCAATTTAGATGCAGTGCTAATTTAGGCAGTAGTTGGTTAGTCACAAATACCTCAGCCTTTCCTGGCTGCAATTACATGCTTTATTAATTCAATACCATGTTCTACCTGCCTGGCCAGCAATATATTCTGCTTTAATACCACACATTGCCAACGTGTGTGTCCCTTTTCAGGGGCGTGTTAAGTACGCTCTCTTTTGTAAGGACACCTCGTTGTGATGCTCCCGACATCTGGCTTGATTGCCACCTCTTTATATTAGCAGTTGACGCAGTTGTCTGACACCACACACCAACCCTTAAGCAATGTATGTTAACAAAGTATTACCACATTTATCCAAGACTCTGGGGCTCAGGCATGCACTAGTCAGTGTTTTAATTCTTGTGTCCAGGGATTTCTCTGAGGAACAGCTTTAGCACCAAAGCAGATAAGGCTGCTCTTTCTTTTTTTTCCATTTGTGGTTTGGGACCCCAAGGGATGCATTTAATTAAGAGTATCCTGAGGGTTATCTTCTGCTTATCCCCCTGGACTAAAACCCATATGGTGAGCATTAAATTAGGTTGCAAGCATTCAATTAAGCTACACTGCCATTTCTGAGTTTTCGTATTCTAGATTTATGAGTGTCTGTCTCTCTTAATGGCATTAAGAAATGCCCTTAAACTGTCTGTTCCTGCAATCACAACATGCTATCCTGTAGCTGAAGGATGACATCTGCAGCTCAGCATTCCCAGCCAGTATTAGAGGTCCTTCCTCCCTGCTGTCTCAGTTTCGGTGCTGAGCTGGTGGGCATGCACAAAATCATGAGTCACACCACCAATAATACAATGCTTTTGTGATCTGACCAATCCTCTGTCCCCCCTCCTCTAGGCCATACTCGATCACAATTTCAAGCTCTCCTCTCAAATCATGAACACTTAAGATATTTTTAAAGCCCTGTAAAACTAAGGTAGTGAAGCAAATTAGATGATTCCTAAAGCTGACACCAAATACTTGGAGATTCATGTAAAACTGTGTGCATTAGTAATGCTGCAGCCCCAAACATGAGCTGTAGCAATCCTCATTTCACTTGCAGGTATCATGTTAGGAAAAAACCCAGCTCTCTAAATCCACACAGTATTTAAAGTAGTAAGTTAAATTCTGTCTTCTCTCAAGACATGTCCATTAAAGCTATATCAAGAACATGGAGCAGGACAGAACTGTACAGGTTTTACCACAATGTTTTATTAAGTTTCATTTCCAAAGGTCTTGCCTAAAAGACAAATAGAATTAAACAGTCATGCAACCCTGCTTGTGAAAAAATAAGCAGTTTTCCTTATAGTGCAATACTGAAAAGCTTGATTTTTTATTTCTTTTTTACCCATTTTAATCTGAACAAGAGAACATTGTAGGCAGATCATTTTGTACATTCAGCCAACACAGGAGCTGTATTCCACAGCATTAAGTTACATGTAAGATATACACTGAGAACGTATTAAGTGCTCTGGTGCACGCAGTGTGGAGGCAACGGATGTCAGTTCACATTCAATAAAGCAGCCAAGACAGGGAGAGTCAAGGAGTTACTCCACGAGGTTAAAGGAGGCAGCAGCCTGTGGATTTCCGTGCATGCTTTTGCAGCTCTCCATGCTGAAAAGCACCACCCATTTGCAAATGGAAGCACTCTGCTGGGACAGTGCCCTGCCTCTCGGGATCAGCCCTGGGTAAACTGAAGCTTTGACACTACATGAATGTTACAGTGTGCTCTACACCAGCAGATCATTTTTCACTCTGCAAGAAGGACCAGAATGTGGCATGGGGCTCCTCTCCTTTAAATCTTCATGTGCTGTTTAGTTCTGCTTGCTGCAGTCCCAGGTATGGCCACTGTCACCTCAGACTAAGAACACTCTGTAAAAGTATAGACCTGAGGGTACAAATAGCTTCCTGTTTTCAGCCTGTAATGCCTGAACTAGAAGGGAGGTGTGGAGTTTCCCTCAACCCTGAGCTACATCCTCCCTCTGTTAGACCACAAAGTCCTACAGTCAAGCTCAAACAGGCTTCTAGGAGCCCTGTCCATGCAAGCAGGGGCTCTGCATCAAGAGCAGCTCTCCACCCCTGGCACAGCATCCTGTGTCTGTCTCTTAACCATGTCGGGTCGTAAGATTAGGAGAAAACCCTAACAAGCAGTTTCCAGGCTGCAGAGGCTGCACACCAGTCAACTGCACTTTTTAAATCCTACTGAGAAACCAAGAGCTGGGAAAACCACATCCTGTTTCACACAGGATCATCTTAATCATAGAAGTCAACAGCAAAACATTTAGGCTGTTCTGATTAATTAGTTTATAGCACAGCCACCTCTGTAATAATGCAACAGAGAAAATATTGCCATGTAAAAAGTGGAGTTTGCAGCTATGTGTGGTGTAGCACAGCTTGTTTTAAAACAACATTCTTCTGTGGTTTCAGAACTAGTAGATAAGAACAACCACTGCTTCATTGATTAAAAGGGAAGAGATAAGAAAAGGCACCATTCTTGTACTCTTCCCACGTAGCCTCCCCTGTACGACTGTGTTTTATGTTGCTCATGAACAAAAGCTGCACATAAATTCACAATTGATTTCCGGGGATACAAAGCCAAAGGCAGTAAATCAGTGTCACTGCAACTCCAACAAGATGAATGCTCTGGCAGTATTAGCCCATTAACATCGTTACATTACTTAAACACAAAAGATACTGAGGGGAAAAGAAAAGCTGTTGTTTTCTTGAGGTTTCATAAACTATAGTGTATGGATGCCATTGATAACATCAGGACTGTCAGACATCCAAGCTGGTGAAACTCCACACAGGTACACAGACAGCAGTGGGGCATCTGCTCTTTGAGGGGGGGAAGGCTGCAATTTTTCTAAGCTGCACAAAAATGCTAAAGCAATGTCAAGTATTTCCAGACTGAACTGCAGAGCTGCAAGGCAAACGCGCAAAAGAGCAATTCTGTTGTCACAACAGCAAGAATCTGGAGTAACTATATAAAGTCAGTGGAGTACTTGGGAATTTTTAGTAGTGGAAACCAGAAACTGGCCATGAGTCATATACATAAATGCAGAAAGCCACTGCTGCAAGTCCAAGATCCTTCCAACCCCTGGTACCAGAGTAATCAAAAATGCACTGAACGCAAGCACTGTTCATTTCAAATCGAGTCTTGGAGCCACTCCACTATGCACAGAGCCCAGGTCACACCAAATGGACTTAACTGTCTTGTTTCCCAGCAAAACAATAGATTTAATGAAGATGAGGATATCAAAGCACCAGTAGAACCTGCATATGCCAGTAATTGTTGTACTTTGTCCTTTTCACTTGACAAGTTCCCCCCCCCTTGTGTCTATTCTCCCTTCATATCAGCTTCAAGCCATCTCTTGGGAGCTGGAAAGATAAATATCCTGAGTACACAATGCTCCATTATTAACTGGCTGAGTGCTGGACTGTGCATACTTCTTTCTTCTCCTTAGCTCCTTCGCAGTATTAGACTAGTATCCTTTTTTTTGTTGCCCCCCCCCCTTTTTAAAAAAAGGAAAAAAAAGAGGGGACACCCCAGCTACAGCACCTGGACTGAGCTTTTTAACTAAGAAATATCAACACCTTTAAGTATTTAAGGCCACTGAACAAAGCTGAAAGTCCTGCCTCAACCAGAAAGGAAGTCAAACTAACAGAGAATCAGGACCTCATCAAGAGCTACAAAAGTTTCCCATCAGATACCAGCCACATATCTTCTCATTTCTTCTTGCTCTCATAATTCACCGTGTTTCTTCTGCACCATTTAACCCAACTTGAAGCTTCTGCTATGAAACAGAAAACTGGCAAATGATCTCTGTTCTAAGCTGCCATGTAAGCCTGTGGTGCTATAAAACAATTCACATACTCAGGGCATGTGCTCAACACTAAACAGAACAGCTGTACAGGAGGTGCCCAAGACTCATGTTGGGGAGGACTAAAGCATCTTGCTAATTCTAACCAATTGTGCTGCTCTAAAGACACAGAAAGTTGCAGTATTAGCACTTGAACACAATTACATTTTATTGCCATGTTAAGGTGTTTTGTGGTCATGCCAGAGACATGAGGAGTTACAACTTCTCTGGAAACCACTACATCCTCTATAGATGGAAGATTAAATGCTGCCCTCCTCTCTCTGCAAGCAACTCCTGGAAATATCTATTTGGAGACACCCTGCTCCCAGCAGGACTAACCACTGCCTAGTCACTTCTCTTCCCACTGCTCCACATTTTCACAGCATCAGCTATCCCATCAGTTCCATATTGCTGGGATACTGCACTCACCACTCCAGGCAGCACCTTCAGTGGAGGATTTACTTCTTGCTAAGAGGAATGCTTTCAACTTCACAGCTATACAGAGTTCTTTATTTTAATAATCAACCTTGAAAGTTAAGCCTGAGAGGAGCTTTAAACCGTTTCAAGGTTGGCTTTATGCTTGCTTACATTTTCATAGGTAAATAAATAAAGGTCATCCTTCTGACAATTCAAATCAGTTCCTTAAAGGCCACTCACTCCTTTTTGCTGTGCTCCAGCACCCGGTAGGGTGGAGCAGAAGCTCCTTTGGGGCCGTGCTGCTCCTGCACGATTGGCAGCGTGGCTGGAGTATAAATTTCCGGCATGTTGTCATTGTTCTCTAGGGCGCCGTAGGAGAAAGAAGCTTTGAGGTCAGGCTGAACCGCAGTCCCTTTATCGTGCATGTTCTGCATGCCTGAAAAGAGCAAAGACAGAGATGAAATGCTTAGGAACAAAAGTGCATTCTTCCTGCACTGTTAAATCAGCCAATTAGAAAGTTTCAGTGTTCGTGAGCCTCGGCTCATCAGTTCCTTGAGCATTAAATGAAAGACATAATGTTCTGCTTAGCACTAGGGCAGCTAATGGAGAAACATGCTTCCAGTTAACAAGGGATGGCAGCCAGTTATTTATCAAGTGCTGCATATCTCTTATGCAGCTTACCAGAAAAAGTTTAGCTGTATTTTCCAAAAGGAATTTCTGCTCTTGCTGGTCTCTACCTCATGCAACATCTCTGAGCCTTCCCCAGTAATCAGTTCTTCCTGCTGGATGAACACCAAGGCCAGGCCCAAGTGTATGCTCAAATCTAGTTCTGCTTCCCAGACAGTAGCCAATCTGATAAACCCCTAGTGTCAGAGGACCCAGTACAAGTGGCATCCAGATGGCATATCACCTCTCTCTGCTCCATGCAAATATGCACATACCCCTCTACATACACAAACGAGAAGGAAAAACTAGAAGGCAACACAGCCACCTGATACATCTGGATACTTAACAGAGCTTAAAGCTTGAGCTGTCCCTGTGCAGCCCAACACTTAAATAAGAGCAATAAACCACTGTATTTTTACTGTTACCTGGCATTGCATCCATTGAGATGTATGGTTCAAATGGTACAGGTTTCTTCCTATTTCTTGTGATCAGGAAGACACCTAGAAATGCTATGAGGCACCTGAGAGAGAAAACAAGCTCTAGTGAGATAACTGTGAAAAGGGAGAGAAGGTAATACTCCATGTTGTGTCTTCCAAGTGCCTCTCATGTAGCACCATAAAGAATAAAGCCCTGGAAGCCAAAGAACTCTGAAGCTGGGAACTCTCTCAGGCGAATAAGCCTCTTCAGCAGTGTTGCATCACCCAGCAATCAAACATTTCACTTTTCTTTACCAAAACGCATTCATTCATTAACCTGGACTAACTAGAGGGGAAAGGAAGCAGGTCAGAGGTTGGGTTTCTTTGAGAAAATTCCAGGATTTAGCAGCGTGACCGTTCCCACAGGAAAACACACTCACAATTGTCAATCTTGATTTTTCCAGCTTGCTGACAGAGTTCACAGCATTAATCTCCCAATTGCTTTTTCTGCACTAATCTAAAAGACATTTAAGAGTGTTCTCTGATTATGGAAACCTGCTCACATCAGGACACTGTATGTTTTACTGATCATATCTGCACTGCGTGAGGGTCCAAGCCCTAAGAAACAGAACTCCAGAAGTCTAGCCACAGGTCACTGAAGACTGACTTTCCAGTTTTCCATCCAGGAAACTTTCAACACTTACCCAAGTGCAAACATACATATATGGAGAACATCTTCACCGGTGAAGTCCAAGTAAAAGGTTGCTCCTTTAAAAGGAAAAAATTCATGACATCTTTCTTCCCCCCTTACCCAAGCAATCAGTGCTATGTCTCCAGCACTAGTCCCTCCCAAAACCAAACCAAGATTCCTGTTTCTGTAGTCAGCCCCTTTGTATTTTTAATGACCTTAAAATAGCAGAAAGTGGCCCAATTTCTACTTTTAACACAATCTGTTGACAAACACTGAGAATTTCACAATTAAAATACTTACACTGGTGTAACCAATATAGATGCAAGTAAATCTGTACAACCACCAGTACAAATGTTTCCACACCGGGGCACAGTTTTGTGAAGGAAACACTGCTGGAATTACTGCACGTCACTGTGCTAATAAAACCTGACCCACATTCTCCCCACATAAACGAGAGAGACCATTTCTGAAGTCTGAATGACAAACCCCATCAGATCTAACTACAGCAGGTTACAAACTCTTGACCCCAAATAATACATGGCTCAAACCAATAAGGTGACCGGTGTCCTCAGTCCTGGATGTCAACAGGACACATGTCCTGGCTCCTGCTCTTTACATTTCTAACTGAAGTAAATAAGCTGATCAATCTGGGAGCAGCATATGGCTTGGAACGTGACAGGAAATAAACATTAGCCAAAGAGAAGGCCACAGGCTCTGCGACATTGAGGAACAGCAGTAAAAGGCAATGTGTAATTTACGGGGGGGAAGCTATTGCCTTTACATACCTAGAAGAGCTTTACTGCTTACACAGATAGCATCCATCACTGTCAGCAGATGCACTGTTGAGTATTTGGGCTTTGGGCTGGTTGGTTGTTTTCCCCAGTTTTGCTCAAATGTCAAAGTGAGAACAAAACCTTCAAAGGCTGCTGCCAGGTTTGAATCCTGAGGGGTTTAAAACCTCATCATTGTTTGGACAAAGCTTTTCCTGGGTGGCGATGACTGAAATTAGAGCAAACTGTTCAGACAGAAAAGGGCCTACAAAGCTGTGAGCAGCTGTGTTCCAGGTACAATGAAGAAAAGATTATTGGGAATCTGCATCACACACATTGTAACAAAATCTGGATACAATTACACATGGAGAAATTTTAGCTGTGTATTGAAGATGCACATCTAATACGTCACCCTCTTCTACTCATAACCTTTTGCCCTTCTTTTCAAAGAGGCCAGTGTTTGTGCTGTTACCTGCTGTGATCGCTGCCGTTGTGGACAGGATGTAGCCGACACTGGCAATCTGAGAGGAGTCATAGAGCTGTGAGGCTTGTGCCAAAAACCTGCAGTGCAGTGACAAAGAAGAGGGCTTGATTTGAGAAGGATACTCAAACTACACAGCAGTTAACAGGGACCTAAGGACAGGTGTCCTGTTTGGAAACACCTTTCAAAAGTAATGCATAAATTTGAGAAACTTTATTCCCTTTCTCACTAAATTTCAAAGGATGCTGCGGCAGGTTTATAGAAATGATAGAAGAGTAAACCTGGCAGCTAAAGGCTGTGAAATTCACTAAGTTTCACTAGAGGCAGTGAAATTACTGCCACCGGCCTTAGGGCCAGAATGCCACTCACATGTGGAATAGCTTTCTATCCCTGCTGCTACTAGCCTTATTACAAGTACAGAGGAACAAAAATCCCTAAAACCACCTAGACATCATCATCACCACAGACTCTGCACTTTAACTTTAGCCACTGCACATATCCTGCATTCCATCTGCCACCATCTCAGTCTTAACACTGTTTTGCATAATACTCGAATAATGTGTAAGTTTGGGCTTAAAACTACTTGGCAGCGTCACTATGTGGAAAACCAAAGAACACCATTATCCCAGGCTCCTGTGACATGGATTTGAGAAAAGGTAACATAAGACAATGGATAATTCTAACATTTAATCAGCGTTCTTGGAACAGATAACAAACAGCCCACTAGTCACGGGTCCATTGAAAGCAGCACAATTACAGACAAAAAGAAAGTGAATGTCTTACGTTGCTTGGAAGATGGCTGTTGCAATCATGCACACTAACATGATGTAGAAGATGGGGTAGTCGAGTTGCAGGTTTCCTTGTATGGAGACGAGGATCATGCCTGCCACAGCCTTCACTGTCACTGCAGTCATGGAACCTGTGAAGGTTTGCCAGGATGGGTGCAGTGGCAGCACCTGCTCAGTGGGGCTGGAGCCGCAGTCGCACTGTACCTGCAGGCAGCCACCAGCACAACAGACCTACGAGGACCTGAACCCCTCTGTGTCCAGGTCAGACAAGGGACACAAACTGCCTGGTTTATCCCCAGCTCTGCCCAACAACTTTACTACAGAGACCTCCAGTAAATCACCCAGCCTTTCTGTAGCACCTTCCCTTGTCTACAGGGCTGGGGGCATTAACAGTCTTGTGCAACTATTGTGATGGAAGAATCCAAGTTTTCATTTCCGATGGCATATTGGCTCAGTTAATAAAGCTAAGGAAGTTTCCAAAACAATCAGAAAGAGCTTACTTCCTTTCCATTTCTGAAAGCACAAGCCACGGCCATTCCAAGTTAGGATAGTTGCTGTGGCTGCAATTCACAGAGCCTGTGAGACATCAGCTACTGAAATCCAGCCCCAAGCAGTTCAAAGAAAAACAAAGAAAACAGAAAAGACATAGCAGTAACTGAGGCAATATAAATAGCAAACATTGAGGCCTGTGACAGATTCAAGAGCCTGTTGCACTGTGTCACTGCCTTGCTGTTATTCACCTTTTTGAAAGTTAATTGATCACAGTTTCTTACAGAACAAAAGTAGGTAAAATACTGTACCATGTGCATGCACAGGTTAAAATTAACACCACCAATAAATAACTGGTTTCCATATTTGACAGATAATTCACCCTTATGGGAAATAAGTCTTACTTGTTCAAAGGTCATCTGCACAGATCCTAAACATCACTGCAAGGCGTTAGCTTCACATAATTTGTAGTAACCTTTCTGGACTAGACTGGTGCATTTTATGACATTAATGAGGTCAGTATAATTCCCTATATGCCACAGATGCTTAGTTTACTGCAGTTTAGTGTTATAAGCCAGAATTAGAAGATCTTACAAGTCTGTATCAACTTACCCAGCAAAGCTACCAGCAGGAGAATAACTATAATGTAGTTTGAATTTTTCTCCTTGTAAAAATACAGTAGCAGGCAGAACATGATGATCTCCACAAGCTGCAAAAGATAGAAATGAGAATATTAAAATGTGTGAGGTGTGTGGGGTTGGCAGTAAATAGGATTCTGAGCCAGTCAAACATCAGAATTACATAGTAGAGCAAATGAAAGGAAAATGAGGATCCCACACAATTCTAGATCAAATTTAGCATGATCTCAGCTTCTAATGAGGTGACATTGAATAGCTTCTCACAGAACAGGAAACACGGAACACTTTTGATGTTAGATTTGTGGTAAAGCAGGAGATCAAATAGTCCTGACTGAATATTCACATGACAGATCTCAGCCTACTTTCTGCAATGAGATTCTTTCAGTGAGCCCTGGAGCACACATCTTATTTAATGGCCAGACTTATCTCCATTAAGAAATAATACATTCCATAAGATTTCCAATGAGAGACTGATGGCTCAGTCTAGAAAGTCAGATGCAAGCCCAGCATTTGGACACCTCTGGAGCAGCTGCTCTCAGCTGCCACAGGCTGAAGCCGACAGCTCTAAGAGAGAGCAAGAGACTTGAAAACAGATAAAGATATTCAAGTCCTAACAGAGTAATTCAGAGCAAGAATGGGAGAGTTCCAAACCATGCATGCATGTGTCCACATGCAACATGAACCGACACCACGGAACACTGACACAGGTTCATTAGCAAGTGCAAGGAATATTGGTAGTAACCACAGAGAAAAATAATGCTCAAAACCAAGCTCCCCATCAGGCATATAGCAGAAAACTGGCCCACTTTTTATGGGCCATCTTACCATATACAACAGAAATGGCCAGCTCACTAAATGCCTAGTGATATTTTCTCCTGTCATCTTCTCATGACTATTAGGTCCAAAAGTTATCAGCAGATAAGTTCCAACAATTGCCAAACCACAGCCTACAAAGGACAAAACATAGCGCCCTTTGGCGACCAAAGGACAAAAAAGAGAAAGAAAGAGAGGACAAAGTTAGTGGGTTAGTGTGGATGCATGGGAGTAATATCACACATGCACAGTGACTATTGATGCCATCATGCACATTCCTCTGGATGGTTCCAGGTATTTCTAAAATCTGACAGATTCAGAGGATTTGGTACAGATCAGGTGAATAACCCCAAGGAAACAAAAAAAATCCCTTTTTAACAAACAGTGGCTCAGATGAGGCAAATCTTCAAAGAGGTACTAGAGCTAAAGGAGATCTTGCCATCCCTCCAATTATGATTCCTGAAAGGCCATGCTGTGTGTTGAATGGCTTGTAAACAGGGAGGAAAAATGAAAAGGAACTGTGGAACTTACTCAAGAAATCCTTGGGCTTCCATTTCTCTTTAATAAATATAATTCCTATGATTGCACTTGCTATAAAACAGAGGAGAGGGAAACAGTGAGTTATGCATCAGTCCATAACTCATGCGTCAGCAGTCTCACACTGAACGCACTCAGACTTGTATGGCTGTTGCCTCCTCCCCCCCTTACCTATAACAGACACTGCACTGAGTGGCACAATCAGTGAAAGAGGAGCAAAGGCGTAAGAGGAAAACACTCCCAGTTCACCCAGCACCAGCAGGAACAGTCCACACCACCACGTCTTGGTTTTGAAGTAGGCTCGGGGGTCTTTGGAACCTGCCAGCCGGATGTGGCTGTATTTCTAGAGGACAGAAGAAAGGCAGAGAGGCTTTGGTGCTCTTGATGCTTTTTAATGCAGGATGAGTATTTGCTTCATGATACTTACCTGGAGGTTGAGTGCAATACTGATGACAAGATGCCCAAAAATAGCCAGTAATGCACCAATCAGGTTCTCCTGTTAAAACACACAGATACTAAACTTAGCCAAGGAAGTTGGAGCTTTTTGCACACGTGCAAGAAAAGAAACTTTTAAAACAGTTCCTAGATCATCTGTCAATAAACTATCTGTTTATCTTTCTCCTTTCCTACATGATCCAGGGCAATTCAGGTAAGTTCCCTGTGGCTGTGTTCCAAACCTGTGAAACACCCTGTCCTAGTGACAAGAGACAAGACACTCGCTACAAGAGATTTCAGTAGCGTTCATGTATTTGCATTCTGTGCAGTTTCTCAGAGGGGAAGAAGATAAAGCTAAACACAGTGACCCATTCACTCATTATTCCCTTTGAAATAACTTTTCGTGAGGATGACTCTTGCCCTGGAATTCAGCAGAGTATGGAGCAGGAACCTCTGCATTCTGCAGGTCACATTTTAAGAACTGTTCTGCTCTTCTCCACTTACAGCATCTGCTGGTTCAGGTAATTCAACCTATTTCATGAGGCCTCCCAGTTACCACAGATTTTATGCTGGCTTTTATATGAACCACCTATTTCAAAGTAATAAGCAACTGGTAGTAGCTCCCAACCCCTCCTACATGAGCATTCCCAGCTCAGCAGTCATTCTCACGGTCTTAAGACAGAATTTGAAATAAAAAAAAGATGTAAAGCAGGGTGAGTCACAAAGGAAATGTACATTAGGAGGGAACAGGAGAGCCTGAGGCTAAGCCAGGCCATTTAGCATTTATGTTCCTCCAACAACTGTCTAAATCTCATTAGATGTCATTAGAACTTTTCATTTCAGTGCTGGTCTCCAAGATACAGTCTAGTACTTTGATTGATTTGGGATAACTGAGCTCACATTCGTATTACTCCCTTAACAACAAATATACTACTCTCAATTTTCTCACACATAGTAAGACAGGGACTTTAAGATTTTAAGTTCTTATCAGTGGAACAAAAATCTCTTTATCAGGGTGTATGAAAATAAGATACATCCAAGCAGCTTGATTTAAAACCACCTGCGAGATCTTCCCACAACAGTAAAGCTGGCAGGAAAATGTCCCTGTGTGATCACAGGTGTAGCCAGAGCAGTTCACTGGCTCAGCAACTGCCCTTTGGTTTAGAAGAGACAGAGTTTCTTTCTTTCTCTCACTGCTGTAATGCACTGGGGCCTCCAGGCATGGCTAAATAAAAACCCAGTGCACTTGCTGCAAACAAATAACCAAAACACAGGGACACTGTTGGTTACTTGGGGCCTTCTAGGGATAGACTAGGGGAGAAACCTGACCTTGTATGAAAAGGAGTCGGTGTGTGGCTGCACAGAAACTGCTGCCGTGGCCAATGGGAGTTGCTGAAGTTGTAGATTTGGACTGTTGCCTCCTTCCATTGTGACTGATTGGAGTGTTTACTTTTCAGCCTCCTGGATGCTGGAGCTTCTCTTTAAAGAAGAGACTTGGACCCTGCTGGAACCACTTTCTCTGTAACTTGGTACCACTTCTTCCCATCCATCTCGTTTTCTTAGACAAGCAACAATTAGGTGAGCCCCAGAAAATTCTGTATAGCTGTCTGGGCTACACCAAGATACAGTAGGCACTGTAGGCAGGAGTGTAGAGGAGCCAATATTGCCAGCCAGTCAGTGGGGCAGCAAGGTTATATTCCTCCAAGGTAACACTAATTAAAACCCAGAAACAAACAAACAAAGACAACAAAGAATTAAGTCAAATTAACTCAATGGTCCAAAATATGCATTAATTCCTACTGAAAGAAAGACTACAGAGAACTCCCTTCTTGCAGTCTCAAACATAAGAGCTCGTACACTGGCATAGCCCCAGGGGTGACATACTCAGCTGGCATTTAACATCAGGCCTTGCCATTTGGAAAGCTCTTATCGAAGACTCTGAAGTCCTCCAAATGCTGCTTTTCATTTCTCTGCTCTCTGCTGTCTCTGTTGTTTGTTCAGGATGCAGCACTACATTAGTCACCCCATCCCCATGTGCTGGGGATGACAGTGCTGCTCTTCATGCTGAGGTCATTTCAGTGTAATCGCTGCAAGCACAGTTTGGAGGCTGAATTCCTCAGAGCCAGACTCATTACAGGTGTCTGGAAAGCATCACAAAGAGCAAGCCTGTCTGGTCCCTGCACGCTATGACAGCTCCTTCAGCAAAGACCTCAAGGAGCATCAGCACTGTCCCCCTTGTACCGTGAGGGATGCTGGTGCGTAGACACTGCAGGGGCACAATCCTCCCAGGTGGAACATCCTCCTCAGTCCAAAGACTACCTGAAAGGGCACGGGTGGAGCACCCCTTATGCTCAGGCGCTGGACAACTGGCCAGCGGTCAGGTAGCAGAACCCATGCCATGCTCAGGCTACAACCTGCAAGCTCTGGGGATGACTTTAGCTCATGGGTTGTCCCCGTGTGCCCAGCGTGAGGGACAGGGCTGGCGTGACAGCCCAGCACCACCAGGAACACCCCGAGTGAGGAACAAAGCCCCCATCACCCCACTGTTAGGGTCCTGCCCGGGCAGGGCAGAGCCTGGCTGAGGGCGGGAGTTGCCCCTGGAGGCCCACCCCCGGGTCAGGCCTCTCTGCCCAGCCGCCACCCGTGGCCGGGCCCCAGCAGCCGCCTGTTTCCGCCCAGGACCCCCGGAGAGCCCGCAGCGCCGAGCGGACAGCGGCCACCTCCCCGGCCCCGCACTCACCTGCTCCCCCAGCCCCGCACTCACCTGCGCCCCCAGCCCCGCCGCTCTGCCCCCATGGCCCGGCCCTTCAGCACCCACCTCGGCTCCCGGCCCAGCGCCGCCCCAGCTTCCCGCCCGGCCCTTCCGATTCGCCGCCAGCCCTGTCACTCCATGGCCGGGCCGGGGCTGCCGGCGGTGATTGGCTGCTGGGTGGGGGCGTGCCTGGCCCAGCCTATGGGCTGAGTCCGCCTGCGGCTCCCGGCTCCGAGGGGGCGGGCGGGAAGTGCCGGGTTCCGCCACTCGTTTGGGGCGGGACGGGGCGGGACGGGACGGGACGGTGCCGGCACCGACACCGACATAAACACAGACACAGTCCTGCTGCGGGACTCCGCCTCCCGGAGCCCCGGCCCAGAGGAGAGGAGCCGCAGCACCCCCGTCACCCCGCTCCACCCGCCGGTGTGCGGCGCCGGCCGCTGCCCGCCTCGGGGACGGTGGCGGCTCCGGTAGGCCCCACCCAGGCTCCAGAGCCACCTTGAGACGCATGCGCTGCGCACTCCCAACCACGCGCACCACGGCTCTGAGAGTTCACCCGTGATTGGATGCCTGCCGGAGGGCTCAAAGTAACGGGGCCAGTGATTGGAGGAGAGCGGGGTCGGCCGTTGTCTCGGCAACCAGGTGCACGCGTTCCCTCAGCCGCCGGTACCGCCGAGGGCCGCAGGGAGCCGGCGGGCAGCGGGGTGCGGACGGGGGGCACCCCCGTGCCTCGCGTCCTGTCACCGAGCGGCTCCTCCCGCCCCTGTCCGCCGATCGCTCCTCAGCGCTTCAGCTGAGAGGGTGGCCCCGTGGAGCGAACGGATGAGGTGCCCGAGTCGGTAAACGGGGACAGCCCGCAGAAGCGATTTAACGGCACTGAGCGCCCTTTAAAGCCCCCTCACGAGCAGTGCTGCTGCACAGTGCTTGTATTCCCTCTGCTTCTTAAATAAAACCGAAGTTAAATGCAGAAGTGGCTGCTGTTTTCTTGGCTTGAACACTGCACTAACGTTAGATTTGCCTTTAACTTACATATGCCATTTAAACCGAAAGCTGGGGTTGTAGTTACATGTTTCCTCTATCTCCAGATTTTAGGTTTCAAGATTTCTTCCAGTCTTTATAAATACCACAGGAAAGTAATCCCAAACTGGGGGGGAACAAAAAGGATTTCACTCTCAAGCAAGGAGGTTTCAGTATAAACTCCTTCAGAATAAGTGAGTAACAAAACTGTTTGTAGTTTATGTCTTTGTTTTGGTTTCTTTGTTTTTTTGTTGGTTTTTTTTGTTTTTTTTTTTTCTGTTGTTGTTGGTTTTGCAACAGGGTGAGAAATGTGCTAATGCAATAGTATTATTGCATTAAATCCTGAAATTACTCACATAATACCCTCACCTGAACCACCTCCTACCGTCTCCCACCCAGCTTTCACCCTAGTCCCATTTCCAGTGTTCTTGAGCTCTCCACGACACACACACATACATGGTGCGTTTCTTCTGAAATTCAAGGAAACCGGAGAAGTTAACACTTGTGCAGTGAGAGCACAAGGTTCCTATTGCTTCCTATCTCCTGCTGTCCCTCACCCTGATGTAGGAATGACACCGGTACATCTGGTATCTGGCCAGCAGAGGGAAGCAGAAAGACGTTTTAAACCCATCTCGTTCCCCCGGCTCTCTTCAAGTGCAGCCAAGCTCGCAGGTGTCGAGGGCCTCCTGGGCTTTCTGGATCCAGCTTTCAAGCTGCCTCCTCTGCTGCTGGAAAGAGGATGCCCATGGCCCCTGCTGACAGTCTCCTGCTGTCTGATGACGATGTGGTAACCCCAGAACTCTGAAAATTAAGTATATTAAGGATTCCTGAAACTTTGTGTGCCGGGTATGTAAAGCAGGTGAATCAAGGAAGTATTTGGCCTCTTCCCTCTTTCTTCTTCTGCCTTTGGCATCTTCTTTTTCTTCTCCTTCCTTTGATCTCTTTCTCCTTGCTTGTCTTTCCCATCTCAGTGATATCAGGAGTGTATTATCTCAGATTGAATAATAGCAATCAAGGAGGCAAAGGACAAAAGATGAGGGGAAAATGATCAAGGTGGAGAAGTTGCTTAAATACCGTCTGTAGGCGCCATCAGTCTGTCTGGTCAGCTTCCAGGAGCTCCAGATGACCTGATGCTAAGTTCTGACTAAAAGAGAAGAGGCAGAGTCTTAAGGGAGCTTCACAAAGCACTCCCTTCCCTTTGAGAATTTCCTGCTTGAAGGGCAGAGCAGGCAGGAAGCCAAACCACAAGCTACACAAGGGCTTGGCTGATTCTTTCTTAAGCTTTATCCCTAGAGAAAAGTTACTGCACTAGGCAGGGGAGGGGAAGCTTTAGATCCATTAAGACCAGCCTGTTTGGGGGCTGCTGACTTTGTTTTCTCCACCAAAAGCACTTGACTGTGTCCTCTTCAGCACAAGCCATTTTGGAGTACATTCCTTTAGCTGGGATAAATTGCCAGTACATGAAGTTTACCCACTTGTAATTTAGGCCACGTAAAGAGCTTATTTGCTTCGTACTACCTGACCTAGAACACCTCACAGGTGAGTTGACCCACTTCTATAACTGCCAGTTTCCCTATGTCCTCACACATCCCTACGTGTAGCAGCGGGCTGGAGTTTGCCAGGTTGTTCTGATGGACTCACCTTGCAGCACGGAGCCCCCTCACACTCCCACAATCCACAGGGCACAGAGGTGTGCGCTCACTGGAGCAGGAGGTTAATTTCCAAGGGTGTGTAGATGTCTAATCTCCAATTACTTTCAACAACACCGAGGTGATGATGGGCATGCCAAACCCAGAGCTGGATGCACGGGATGGGAGAAGGGCTCTGTAGCTGTTTCTTCCCTGACACGTGCTTATCCTGGAAGGCGCTAATCAGGAACGTGCTGCTGAAGTAGTAACTCCCCTGGATGGGGCAGGGCTGAGCATGGGACTCCATCCAAGCTGCAGCAGGCTGGTCAGCAGGAGCAGCCAAGCCCTGGCAACACCAGGGAATGCAGCTTGCAGATGCAGTTTTTTATCAGCTGCTTTGGAAAGCTGCTGCAATTTTAATAGCCAGTTCTAGCAAATTGGAGCAATCTTGCTTTCCTCAGCACAACCCTCTTGTCCATGGCGAGCAGGGTGGAGAACCTCAAGCACGTGGCAGGGCTTCCACATGGCAGGGCCATGTGGAGGTGCAAGCCAAGGCAGTGCGGTGGCTGTTCTGTTTTGAGTTCTGGGGCTTGATAAAAACCACCTAGCTCAGGATCTCTGCCTGCTGCATGTGGACAAGCCCTCATATCCCATCTTGAGAAATCTCCTCCTCCAAGTTTGGCATCCTGGGAGTATCACACAGGGGCTCAAGTGAAACACAACGTAAGTCAGAGCAGCTCTGCTGATATTCCCAGGGTTGCATCACATACCTCAAATTTTGATTTATCCTGAAGCATTTTCCTACAAAGAAAAACATGTGGAAAAGATTAGTTGTGACCATTCACTTTATAAGTCAGGTGGTATTCTTATGGCAAAGGCCAAACCTCCAAGTATTAAGTGTGCAGATAACAAAAACTGAGGACCTGGGATCCGATTCCCAGTTTTAATGGAAGTGGCACACATTGTGTTTTATTACTTTTAGCACTGGAGTAGCACTATTACACTTGTCCATGCATGTAGCAAGAAACAGCTCAGCAGCAGTAGAAAACCAGACTGGTGGAGTGATTTGCCCATGATCTCACTGTAAATCAACAGCAAATTCTCCAGCAGACAGCACTGTCTGCCCATCCCATCCAGTCTTCTCCTTAGTCTGCTCTTTTGCAAGACCAAGCAAAGCAAGAGCCCCCATTCGTCTCCCAGCCATTTCTGGTCCTTTCTTAAGGTGCAGCAGGTCACTTGTATTGCTGCTGCTGTCCACCAGCAGCGCAGGTCCTGCTGCATGGTGGTTTTTAATCAACTCGGCCTACACAGGCTTCCATTTCCCCACTTTTAACCTTGCATCTTCCCTGCTCCTTGATCCTGCAGAAACTTCTACAAATCCATTCATCCTTGTGCTTTGCATGAGTGGTTTAATGCCCAAACTACTTTCTTTTCTCCTCTTGACTGTGCATTGCCTTGTTCAATCCCATCTATCCTGTTCTCTTTCCCTCACTATTATGCACATGCTGTTTCTGGGGGGACATCTGATCACTCTCAGAACCTGACTCTGAAGTCATCAGAATACAAACTAAAAGTTGCTTCCAGGCACTTCCAGAGTACTTTCCATTGGTAACTGGCAGACAAGACAATTAACAAAGTACACATAATGATAGAATGCTCTTAAAGATCAGGAACTTCAGCTCTTTCCATCCTACATACTGGAATAATTTCCCATTTGTGTTAGTACAAAGCTATTTCTTTCATCTTGTATGGTGTCCCAGACCTTCCAAGTCCCACTGTTTTTTCTTTCCTGGGATTGGCAGAAGTAGGGCATGCTACCGAGGGCACTCAGCACTTCATGGGACCACATCTGAGAAGCTGGAGGTATCATGCACGACACAGGCAGGGTTTGATTTCTTTGGCTCTATAAATAGAACCCTGCCTAGGCCTCTCTTTTGAAAAGCCCATTTCTAGGAGCTCAGCTGGGGAAGGTGTGGTGACTGCAGAGCTGCATTCTGCCCACAGGCTGAATTAACTGGGTCCAACTCAGATGTTAAGGGTGAGATTTTGGATTTGCTGTGGCTCCCAGTATATAAAAATTGCTGAGAAGACAGCAGAGAAATTTTATCTTCCTCATACTCAGCAATATTCAGTTTTCCATGATTTTTCATGCAGTTTTCCATGCATCAGGAGACCTGCATGAAAAGATTAGAATTTGGAACAATGAAGGCATCTACTTCAATGCACAATCACAATCAAAGCATAAAATCTGGAGCGCAAACAATGACTTAGAAAATGATACAGGAAATACAAAAATCCCCTCATTTCTGCTGCTGGTGCCTCTTCAGCTGGAATGTCACCTTTAGTCCTGGCCACCCTCATTCTAGTGAAGAGCTACAGCACAGATCATTTAGAAATAAGAGATGACCATTAGAGTCCCAGACTGAAAACACTAAAGATGTTTAATTTAGAGGGAAGAAAAATTAGATGGCTTGAAATGCATGTGAGATAACTAAGAAAAATGAAATAGTCAGCTTTTTCTATATCACATAGAACAGGAGGATATCGGCAAAACCTTAAAACCCAATAAATTTCAACTTGAAAGAAGGAAGGAATGGTACAAACTACAAATAATGTTCATGCCCATCTGTAACCTGGG